ATTCAATCATCGATTATCATATGCAGAGAAACTGCGTTTTTTCCCCTCCAGCTCAGGTTTTCACGGGTTTCATTTATGGGCTTCGGAACCAAGATGCCGACGGGCATGTAAAAGTGCGATATGCATCGAGGCGTCACCGAGATTCACTCGGAACTAAGAAAAATGTATCCATTTCCCTTATTGGAGTCGATCACTTCATAAAGGGGCGACACAAGAAAGATGGGGTTTTTTTTAATGCTATAGCAGTAAAAAAAAAGGAAATCTCGGAAAGTTTGTACTTGATAAGGAGTTTTAATGCGTATTAGCTCTAAGCGTCGGCTGGAACTTTTAGCTATTGTATATCGATGCTGTCAGCATTTTTTCTACTGATTTATTTCAACACATTCAAATCCAAATTAAATTATTTACGTTTTTCCGGAAATATGCATCACAATCAGACATAAAAATTATGTTGAAAGGATACTAAAAAAAAAATCCAGAAAAGATCAAGTAAATTCTGCAGATGCTCGTCTGCCGTCTGTTTTTTCCCCAAAGAAGTGTCTAATCATGATTCAGTCTTTTTGAAGTTTCTCTTGAGATGAAATGTGCAGGTAAAATAAAATAAATCCATTGCAAAATGTTTAAATTTCCCGCACTTGAAATATCAGAGGATTCGAAATAAATTTAACTCAGTATTGTACTCTTGAGTCCTTCCACATTTACTCAAACGAGCAAGAAAAATCCAATACTTATTTTCCAACAATTTGAAAATCAATGGTCATAATTGTTTCGTGAAACGACGCTTAACAAGGTGAATTCCACAACCCCGACTGTGAGAACAAAAACTGCTGCAGATTACAGTGAATTTCTGAAAAATAATTCTTTTTTTTTCTATATTTTAGGATACTATGAATGGATTTCTTGGACCATTTTTCAACTTCCACACGTTATATACTCGCGGGTTTCATTTTTTTTTTCATTGGAATAAAATACGTACCCCTATCCTTCGGGTTTGAAAAAAAAAATCTCCTTCCGGAAAAATAAATAAAAAGAGCGTGCGAATCTTTCTTTGCGCAGATCATTTTGCAGCAAAATGCAGATCCTCGGTCATGATTTTCATGAAACGAATGGCAAACCACAGAAACCAGGACAACTTGAATTATAGCCGTGTCACAACACGCATACACTTTCCGACGGGTTATTGGCACAGAAAAGCCGTCGCCAGAATAAAAAATAAAAAAAGAACCCATCGCATCAGCATGCCAATAATTCGAGGAATGAGACTCGGGATATGATGTTCTCCCCAAGCGGATTCCACTTCGTACAGTATCCATACTTCCCCACTCCAGCACGACTTCCCGACGACAAAAGTTCTTCAAATATTGCGGAATATCCGACATTAAAAGCAAAAGAATAAAAATAAACATAAACATAAAGGAGAGGGCAAACCAAATTACGCAGAAAGGAAAAAAGTGGGGAAATGTGCAGAGGAAACATCGTTGACAAGCAGGGGTTTTAACGAACCCTTGACGAGTTCAAAAACACGTGTGAGCACTCGAATTCTTTTTACGATGCTCCCATGATGAGGGAAAATAAATGATCCTTGAGTCGATCTCTCTTGAATGAAATTAAAATTCAATGCGAATTCGTGACACTAAATTAAGTACTGTAACTGATGCACGATTGATTTCATTAAAATTCCCAGGCCATGGATTTCGCGGAATTTTTGTCGCAATTTGGTTCATCATCTGTTATTGGGTCGGCACGGAATCCAAGCGTCGCATTAATCTCCGATGTTGAATAAAAGGCATTTCATCTTTCAGTTCCAGAAAATTTCTCAGACGGTCTCTTTGTGATTCATATAATTTTTCAGCTGCATCACCGTCAGATTTTAAAAACAATATCGCAGATGATAAAAAAAATGCCCCGAGTGGAATTTAGAAAATTTGTCCACAGACATCAGACAGAATTTAAACACACGAATCTCATAAAAAAGTTCACGCGACAGAAATAGCGACAGAAGAATGTACTTCTGAAATCAGTGCTCTTTTTCTAAGCATTTCATTATCATTATTTCGAACTAAAGTAATTAAATATCCTTCACCACCTCAAAAGTCTCCGCGCCATACAAACTTAATTAATTCTAAAAGGGTGTCGATAATTGATCGACACTTTTTTTAAAAGGAAAACCAAGCATTCTTGTGCATCCTGGAAAATTTGGACACATTTTTCTTTAAATTTTGGTGCCACTGTTGAAATTTGCTACATAGTTAATGATTCAGACAGGAGCTATTGATGCTTCAAAATATGTTGAACATTTTCATCGACTGATTATTTCAAATAAAAAAACATTAAGAAAATATTTTGGAAAAATGTTCGTCTCATAGCACCTGCAATTTTTTCCTTTGTCAATGAAACAAATTGACATTCGCGGAGTTTCGATACGCCAGTAAACGAGGTAATTCTGAACCAGTCAATTAATTACATGCAGTTCAGCGTGTCCTTGACCAAATAAAAATGCAGAATGCCATCCTGATGTAATGACTGCTGTGCACCAGATTACACCTGCATTGCGACATTCTTCTGCGGAGCCATAATCCCGACGGAATGTCCCCCCCCCTCTCCCAAAAAACTTGAAATCACAAAAAATGACTAAAAAAAAATACTTTCAGTGCAACAGGTGTGGGAGCCCAGGGTTTGACGATCGCACCCCGGGTCGTCCGAGGCGCCAATTAACGTCATTCTCGCCCGCGGCGGCGATCACTCAAGTGACAGGTGCTCGCGTCCTGTTCGTGTCGACGACGACTTCGTTAAACCTCGATCGACACTCCATGGAATAGACGACACCAATGATAGACGAAAATAAAGCTCTGCTTGCAATAAACTACACGCTCAAAAAAGAAAAACATGGGGAAAACACGGGGAAGGGAATCAACCGGAAAATACGGCTCCGGAAAACTCCTTAACACACTATTGACTGTCTTCTTTTTAAAAACGGCGCTTCGCAAAATAACGCCGAGCATAAGACCTCGAGTCCGTAAAATATGCGTGAAATACTATGTGAACAGGAATAATTATAGTAGATTAAAAAATTAATCTAAAAAACCACGTTTTTCAAGTAAGACTAAAAAGCACAAAAAAATTTAGTAGATTAAAAAATTAATCTAAAAAACCATGTTTTCAAAAAGCAAAAAATAACCTTAAATGTGGTGCGCATCTATTTCATTTGTATTTCACTTCTTCCCAACAATCTCCATGCGCACCACGTTTAAGGTTATTTTTTGCTTTTTGAAAACATGGTTTTTTAGATTAATTTTTTAATCTACTAAATTTTTTTGTGCTTTTTAGTCTTACTTGAAAAACGTGGTTTTTTAGATTAATTTTTTAATCTACTAAATTTTTTTGTGCTTTTTAGTCTTACTTGAAAAACGTGGTTTTTTAGATTAATTTTTTAATCTACTATAATTATTTTATTCTTTTTAAAAAATATTCTTATAATTAATTTTTTCACAAAAGATTGCATTGTCATCAGTTTCTAGGCTATCCTGAAAGTTTCAGCTTGATAGCTAGTCGGGAAGTGAGTGAAATTTGAGTTTCAAAATTTGATCCGGACAAACAGACAGACAAGAAAGTGAGTTCATAAAAACGTGGTAAAAAGTACCAAGCAGTCGTCAGATATTGGAAATTTTAAACTGCTCGAAGCGTTTATGATTATCGTAATTCAAGAAAACCTGATGAAGAAATTCCTGCAGAATGGCTTCGAAATTTTTTTTATGTACAGTAATAGTCTTCGTCGCATGACGAAGCATCAAAAATAGCGCCGAACAGAATTTCTCCACAAAAAAACAGAGCAAGTTGAACTGGGCAGTTGTTGACAAAGTATTTCATCAATAAAATTGATTTGGTGGTCAAAATGAATAATACTTTAGCATGTTTTTCTTTCGTTTGAATTGTTTCGCACGGCAAGGTTTTTCATTTTATTTTTTTGCGGAAAAAAGTTGCATTGAAACTCCAATCGATTAATTATTAAAATTTGTACAACTTTGAGAGTATTTCAATTAGTAATTGGTAATATTTTCCCTAGTGTGATCTTGTGTGTGAATCGTTTTCAGCTGTCAATGTCTTAGCGGCAATATTTTTAGAGACGTGTTTGTCTGGAACGCGCTCTTTTGAGGCGCGCCGTTCTGGGACTCGCATATTTTTTACCCAGCTTACTTATCGCATCAAAAAAATACATCATCCAGTTCGAGCAAGAGCAAAAATAAATTATTCAGATATTTTTCTCGGAGGTGTTGAAACTTTTGGGAAAGCCCGCGGACTGGCTGAGTGATGATACGCCCAGATTTTAAAATGTTATTCATACCTCGGACTCTTCATTCCTTTTCAAAACCCCCTAACCTGTCTGTACTGAATTGGATCGAGGAGCTACGCTCGGGTTTTCTCACGACCTATGAACACGATTAGTAAGAAAACTTCTTTTTATTCTCGATATCAACATAATTAGATATCTGGTGACCGGAAAGCTTGTAGAACCAGCTCACGGCCCGTTGCTTTGATTCTTTGGTCAGATATACAACATACTTCGAAGAAGTCAAGAAAAATATGGGACGATGGTTGAGACATGGAGTCTTTCATGCCTTTGAATCCATCAGTGCAACAAAGGCGTCGTAATTTAAAAAGCAACTCTTTTTTATGGTCGGGCGTATTACAGCGCAGTATTAGAAAAAAGCGAAGTGGAAATCAATTTCAGGTGAGTTCGATCATGCTGATTTAATAATTAGATTTCATTTTTCGGGAAATTAGAATATCTGGTAAAAGCATTATTCTGAATAACGTTAACGAATTTATGTTCGGGTTCAGATGAAATACGAGCTCTTTTTTCTGGGGACATTGCTTTAAAAACCCAGATGAATTCTTCATACAGCGTCACAAAATGTCTATAGATGAGCTCGATGGATTTAACTGAAAAATGATCAGGTCTCATTTTTCCTCATTTGGACTAATGCAGCACAAAATTAGCATTAAAAGATGTTAATGCTCATTCTTCCAAAATGATCAATGACACTGCAGCTGAATTCGTCGTCCTTCTCTGAACCTAAAAAATAAATAAAATAAAATAAACCAAACTTGAAAAAGAAGATTATTGTTTGGCTTCCAAGGAATTTTAAGAAAAAAATGTCCTCATGACTCTTGAAAATATCCCACAAAAAATAAATGAATGATTTTTTTCGATTGATGTTTCCAGAAAAACTGCAAGGTTTCTTTTTACGTGTTTCAAGGTGCACTCAGTCACGCTCACGATGTCTTTAACATGCAGTTTTATGGACCAAAAGCAGGCCAAATGAACCATTTGATGGTTGTATGAACCAGTCGCAAAAGCGAAGCACACCATTTTATTGGGTGGTTCTTGTGAAATATTCTGCTTTCATCGCGGGTCTTCCAAGTTCAGTCAGAATGAGATACGTCGTTCGTAATGTGGGCAATTTTAGAATCCCTTCTTTCCTTCACGAATTATTAATTTTACTTCGGGCTGCTTGAAATTCGGTCGTTACTTTTAAAGTTACATTCCACGAAATTTCATTAGAGCTGAGACTGTACCCACTCACAGGTAGGTTCGCGAAGAGATATTTTATTTCGCGGATGAGTTGTAAAACTGAGCATTTCTTGAAGCCTGATAAGTTCAGAGTGTATTCACAGCTTTTGTTTTATGTTCTTGAAATTTTCAAAGTACAGTATTACCTGGTATTTTGAAAAATACAGGGTAAGCAAAATGATCCTGCACTTGAAGCTTTATGAGGACTCTCGGGCGAATTTTTTCTTCCAGGAACGGACTGAGGAACTGTTTGGTGCTACGGAATAAATAAGGATTCCCTAATTCACGGGGTACCCAAGTAAGATACGGGCCCACGGGCCAGATCCGGCCTGTGGAACATTCCTTTGGCCCGTGATAGTCAACCCACAAGCTACCAGCACGAACTTCAATTTTTGAGAACCTATATGGGTTTAATCCAATAACTCTCTAACACAAATTTTGAGGAATTCTTGGGAAAATCTAGACCATTGTCAGTGCACTGTAGCTTGCACTGCGAAGAAAAAATTGCAGAAAGTGTACATTTTTCCAGAACCCTACACGAAAAATAAAATGAAGAATAAGTCATAATTTTTTTCTTGCGACCGGCACTGACTATCCTCCTTGCCAATATATGCGGCCCACCTTCAGTTTCGATTTGTCCGCACCACTGCGGCCTAATTCATAGTTGTTATTAATTTTTTTTTAAACCGGTAACTGAGTAAATTGCGTGCTGTAACACAGTGTTCCCCAACCCGTGGTCCGCGGACCGCCGCCGGTCCGTAGAATTTTTTTGCCGGTCCGCGGGAAATTTCTCCAGGCTAATGCATTTGTCAAAAGTAGCAATGAAGGATGTTACAGCTAGTATCTTTATCTCAAATTTTGGCAAGACAATGGCAGTTGAAATTATTTCATGAAAAACATGTCTTGGCTTTTCTCCTATAATACTTCAGACAAATTTTTACTTGACTTAATACATTATTTTAATTTTTGAGTCTGAAAAACCTTTCTTCAGGCCCACCTTTCCATTTTTTTGAAGAAATTCCACTATAGCTGCTTCAATGGTTCTTGACTTAATTTTTGCACAAAAAATCGCAGAATCTTTTCAAATACGGCACTTGCAATTTAAGCTGGCTTTCAATCAAAACGTTTTTGAGCAGGCAAAAAGTTTTGCGGAAATTTGCTGGTCCTCAGAAAATTTCATGAACCTTCTTTGCTGGTCCCCAGAAATTTTTTTGGAAATTTGTCGGTCCACAAAATTTTTTTTTTTAATTTGCTGGTCTTTGGTGTAAGGAATAAAGGTTGTACCCATGAAATTCCCGCATTTCAACATTTCAGCAAAGTAAAAAGTATAAGCAAAAAATCCCTATGCAAGAGGAAATTCCGTGGAATTTCCCATTGCGCCATTCTTGGTTTTTTGCGCACCATTTTTTTCTTATTCTAATGATCACTCTCAATCTGCAATTTTTTGCACTTGGTTGTCCTGCAAAAACTGTGTGTTGTGATTTGAAAGTTTCTGTCTTGTGTTTTGGAGACTTTCTTATCAACTGATTTCAATATCTTATTTATAGTACTGTATTTAGCATCTGTATCGTCTTTCTTTTATACCAAAAAAATAAACCTATCTTTTCGTTTGGTGTTTTCACCACAAAAAAACCCTGCCATGTTTTCCTTGGCGGATCGTGCGTTTTATTTAGATTATAATCATTTAATTACAAACGGTCAAAACGGTCGGGGATCACAACAATGTAACAAACAACAAACAGTACTTTCCTGTTATCTCAGTACCTCATTCCTAGACCGCACTACCATCCAGAAAAATATTTAGGACAAGTTCATAATCACGACAACCTACCAGAAACTGTGAATTTTATTTTTCTGCATTCTGAGATAACAGGAAAGTAGGTACTGAGATAACAGGAAAGTAGGTACTGAGATAACAGGAAAGTACCCAAACAACAAACAAGTGAGTGACGGAATAAATAACCAACCTCTCTTCATGGTGTGCTCCCCGAAGACGGAAGTGGAGTTGCGGAACGTGGGGCAATTCCAGCGCTCTGCGGCGAACTGGCTCTGGCACTCGCGGATCCCGCGCAACGCACCCTGCGACACGCTCCGAATGGAATTGGCGTCCAGGTCGGCGAGCAGCGGGTGTTGCCGGCAAATGGCCGTCTCCCAGTCGACGACGTCGTCGTCGCCGTCGGCGTCCTTGCCGCTGCCGTTTTTGCCGGACACGGCGTTGCCGGGGTCGCTGGGGACGCCGCAGAAGGCGCGATAGACGGCGGTGCCGCCGGCGGGGGCGTCGCTGGCCATCATCATGGTCGTGGCGGCGATGGACGCCGCTGCCGGGAAGCCGACTTGCTGCTGTTGCTGCTGCTGTTCCTCCAAAATGCCCAGGTACCTGACATATGACAAATGAAACATTCGTAAACCTCGAGAGGTTCTGTCGTCATCCAAAATTCTGGATGCAGTAATTACGTACTTGGTAAATATAAAAAGGTCTATAGGAGATTTTAACCTTAATTTGAAAGACAAAATGCTTTTCATTTCGTGGAAATCGACATGATTTAAAAATCACAGAGAAAATCTGTTGATATTTTTGACAATCCCAATAATGCGAGACATTAAAGCATGATTTAAAAATCACAGCGAAAATCTGTTGATATTTTTGACAATCCCAATAATGCGAGACATTAATGCATGATTTAAAAATCACAGCGAAAATCTGTTGATATTTTTGACAATCTCAATAATGCGTGACATTAATGCGTCAAAAAATTACCCGAGCAAGCAGCTCAATTCACGTAAAATCCCAAGATACCCTTAAGAAGATTTTTAGAAAATAAAAATATTTATGAGGTCCTTACATACAGCCTCATCAGGGCAAGTCTCTGATGAATATACATTTTATACTCTGACAAAAAAAGCTTCTGGATTACTCAACAGCGGGGAATTTAAATTGACGTGGGGTTTAGGAAGGAGTTCAAAAATGAAGCAAGATAAAATTGATGAATACCACCTGAGGCATCATTAAAATATTACTTCAATACTAAACCTCCCAAGTTAAAAATGTGGGTGATCATTGAGTAAGTCTCAAACCAGCAAGCAAAAAATATCTGTCTCAAAATGGGATAGCGTGGTAGATTTGGACCAATTAAGTTTATCCTTCGATAAAGATATGCTTGACCAAGTTGATAATTATAATTTAATTTGTTTGTGCACTTCCTCATTCAGAGCCAATTCTTTCCTTATTCGGAGTAGAAATATGCTGCCCAATTCGGAAATTTCGCCAAATAAGAAAAGGCAGAAAAGATTACAGCTGGACTCTCTCCTTCTACAAGAAAAAAATTCAAAGGACCAAAGAAAAATTCGTCGCGGAGAGAAACCAATGAAACCACACAAAAAAATCGTTCTACAGAGGAAATCATTGTAGAAAAGATCTTCGTAGAGAAAGAGAGAGTCCAACTGTTATCGTGAGGAATATTCAACACTGTTTTTACTTTTTATGCTGAATTTAATATTCAGCCAACGCGAAACCGATCGATGTTCAGGCGTAGAACCAGAATACGCACGACAACTTGTCTTTCCAAAACACAGAGCCTTTTTTTCTTTTCTTTTCACGGGAATATTTCCACTCTAACGTTAGCTGTTCTATAACGCATCATTTTTTGCACTTCGCAGCAGCAGCTTGGCCAGGAAACGGCTCCGAAAAATCGTCCAATAAAATTCTGTCTCGGGCCTCTTGGCCAAGCGACGATAAATTGACCGATTTGTAAGTATAACTGAGCTTGATTCGAATGACATTATTCCAGCACGAGTGGGGGGGACGAAATTTAATCAGCCACGGAACAGAGGAGTACTGCGATATTGCCTCGATATACGCCGCCTAACCTTCTCCCTTGCGTAATCCAATTAAGCGACATCGTGTCGGTCGTGAATGCCGCCCTGTTATATATCGCTCCGATCATAATTAGGCGATGGCTGGCTTCTTTCTGCTCTCATCCCTTTTTTTTTTACAGCCTTGACTCATAAGCCAACATTTATGGCTGTCGAATATGGAAAGGATGGACGGTTAATATTCCGGTTGCGCGTAACAGTAGCTGCCTTTTTTCCGACCTCATTTGCATCATTCCGGCGAAATAAATCTCTGCTGCTTGAAAAAGTAAATTAGAGGCTCGGGGGTAGTAAAGCAGAAGATTGAGCTGCAGTGGAAGGGACTAATTAGTCCTTTCGGACACACGGTGAATTATTTTTGTCGGTTTATTTATTTTTTTTCTATGCGGTTTCTGGGAGGCAAGGGAAAGTTATTTCTGGAAATAAAGCCCAAGAACATCTGCAGCATTTTTTTTCTCATTTGTTTACTGCATAGTTTCAGAGTTTCCAGCATATTCAGGGAAGCGCCCTGAACTGCTGAAAAAGATTCAAGAAATTCAACAACGAAAACAGCAGGAATTCACTTTACTGGCATTTAGGTGATTTTTTTTGTTTTACTTGCAAGCATCGAAATAAAAAAAATTTCACCCTCAAAATCGGGAAAACAACATTCTTCAGGCAATCATGTGTTGGAAGAAGACTCTCAGTAATAAATGCAAAACATGTTTTTGAAAATTTTTCCGTTGTAAAGTAACCACAACCCAAAGATTGGAGTCAGAAAAATATTTTCTGATGGAAAGCCTTCTCTTTTTTTTGATTATCTAAGAATTCCAAATTGTTTTCTCCCGTCAGTTTTGTCTATTTTCTAAACAGAAAATTAAAATTCAGCAGTATGACTTTTTCTTTCGTTGTTGTCGATGATCAGCGACATGATGTTTTCTCATTGGACTAAATTTTGTCTGATTCATGTGATGATTTGGGGGTTAAAAGACGGCCCTCATAATTTTTCGTCATTGTACTCATTGACCATTGGTTTTTACTGAGATTGTATCCAATTTATACCAATACTGGTTAAAATGCAAGTGTGAAACACGTTTCACAGCAGATAGAAGTTCAGGGGCAGATGAGAAATATTTTCATTTTTTTGTTTTTCAACTTTTCATCAGAAGATCTTTCTTAATAATTGCCGTGACGTTTTCCGTGTGATTTATCTGTCAAGGATTCCTCGAATATTTTAAACTTTTATAAAAGTTTAAAATAATTTCGTCAAATTGTCGACGAATTTGTAGTTGATGATCAATAGGCTCTGGAGTTAAAATTCGACTGACAAATGTGAAGAATTCGTCAAAAAAGTTCTTCGTGTGTGAGACATCCCAGGAGAAGAAATATAAATTATGAGCTAAAAATTCTTCATATACTTCTTACAATTCGAACTCGGAAAAAGGTGGATCAGAATTTTTTCAACTCATTGACGAATTTTTCATGTTTTTTTTTCTGGTTAATCCATGGATTGGAGCTTTCTTCGCGAGTTGAATTTCTGTCGAGGCACATGAAGATTCGTCAAAGACCCCTCTTCGTGACAAATCTCAAGGGAAGAAAAAATAAATTTTATGAAAGGAACATCCTCTCGTTGTTTAATTTTTTTCAATTTTCACATTTTTAAATTGTGATCCCGAGACACAGAACATGTTTGAAGGGGGGGGTTTGGGGTGGACTAGTGGCCAGGAAAGTAGAGCACAGTGGACCGAGAGAGAGAGAGAGAGAGAGAGAGAAGGGCCCACCTATAAATCGTGCGGCACGGCGTAAATCATGGGTACCCCGGAGCCCAGCGACACGGGTTTTAATCGCGAGCAGCGTAGCCATTAAATCAACTCGGGCGGTTAATAAACGCCACGGCCGCCGCCGGGATGAAAACGTCTCGTTAAACACCGCCACTGCGGCGTCCGATGACTATCGCAACCCCACAGACTGGCTGGACACGAAAACATGCCCTCCTTCCCTTCACTTACAACGCACAGCATAAGGTTCCCCGCAACCTGGGCATTATTATAAAGGGAGAGTGAGTGAGTGAGAGAGAACCCATGATGGACTCATTATCGACGCAGATTATACCCACACCTGCACATCACGTCCACTCTACCGAAGGAATGTCCCATTTCAGATGATCTATCGCATTTTCTAGAATCTAGACTCAAATACAGTGCTCGATTTTCCAGCTTTAAAAGAAGGAAAGTCCCCGAAAAAAGTAAAATGGTCAAAACATCCACGTATATAGACCACACTGATGAAGAACGACGTGCTGGCCGATATGCAGTATACAATCTCATTACAACAAACAAATTGAAGGGACAAGAAAAAAATTTGTTTTTAAACAAAAATTCGTTATATCAAGATTGATGGATTTATTAAAAATTTGGGAGATTTTTGCGCTAACTGGGGAGACTGTAGAAAATAAATTTGTTACAATGAGATTAAGCTAAGCTGCGCCTTAAGGATAACTGCCGGGACTTAAAAAAAATTGTTGTAGGCAAAAATTCGTTAAAACAAGATTTGTTGTAATGAGTTTCTACTGTATTTGAGATTTTGCCTTCGATTTGCGCGGACTCAAATTTATTTACACCGATCTTGATATAACATTTTTTTTAATCATTCAGTTCTAATATGGCAGCCTATATAGAATAGCATTCCACATGAACATGATTTTTCCGTTTGTGAAACGTTCACAGAATAAATGTAATTTAATTATTGTAAAGGAAGCGTTTTTCTCCTCGCAGATATTGCTAAATGTTTCAAATTGAAGCGAAGTTGTGGTAAAAAAAAAAGTCTCCACATTTAACTGGATCATCTGAGTTCTATGAATGAATGAACAGAAGGCTTTATTTTCCGCTTTTCAGCATTCACAAGGTTCAATCAACATTTCCACACCCAAACCAACTCCCCACCATGAGTTCTAAATTTGTATATGCCGTCTATTACAAGTTAAGGGCAGTATTTTGGAATTAACTGCAAATGTGCGGTTTAACTCCAGTCAGATGCGTAAGATACCTTATATTTATTACAGCGCAGTACTTGCACTTTAATTCATTTTTATGTCAGTGCCTCACGTTTAAAAATATTTGTCTAGTGAATAGACTTCGTAAACATTGGAAAAATGTATTATTTTAACTCGATGATCCCGAACATTCACTCGCAAACACTGCTGTAATTTTGAACAGTACTTTCGGTTTCACAAAAAATTTCCGTTTTTTAAGGAAACAGATGGCATTCTCTCATATTTGTCGAAGTGACGTGCACAGATGTGAATTATTAAATTCCTTTGAGGGAGTTTAGGATATCTTCTACGACATAATTGTTTTTAGATTTGTTAACGAAACATAGCACTGTAGTATTATCCGTATTATTAATCTTTCGCAATATCTTAATTTTCTCCTGACTGGGACGTGAAGAACAAAGTAAAATTGGCATTTGAGACTGAAAAGCATCAATACGAAGAACTCCTTTGGATAGGAGTTTATAATTCCCCGACTTAAGGAATATATCTCAATTGAGAGAAGAATGTAAATAAATGAACTTTCTTGAACAAAGCCCGCATTTTTTTTATAAATTTGCTTCGAGGCTCCTATTTGGTCAAAGGAAAGCTAATCAGACGTTGAATTGTGAAAAATTTGATTCTGAAGGCCTACTGAAGTAAAACTGGAAAACAACTCGCACGATTTTAAAAGAAAAATAAGCCGTCCAAAATATGAATGAACCTCGTATATACATGAATGGATCCTTCAGCAAAGTCGCCGAAGCAGACACAATCGCGTTAAAACCTTTTGCGGGCCCGGGTTTAAAAAAAAAAACACTCTGCATTTCCATTCACGCAACAACAAAAATATACAAGGAAAAGGCGGCGGAATTCCGCAACTAAGAACCGAATTACCCAGCTATATACACGGCCAAATAAAATAGCGCAAAAAAATAAAGAGAAACCTCGCCTTCTCTTTCATTCAAAAACCCCGGGCTTCCCTTTGGACATAAATTACGGCTTGCCTAAATGGCCCTCAACTCTTCCTTTTTTTCCTCAACCCCCCTTCGATGCGCAACGGCTGCCGCTAAAAGGTCGCCGGAAGAATACAAACAGCGCGGGGCGGCGAGAGTCGGAGAAAAATAAGGCGGCTTTCGGTTGCGTCGGCAGCGACGCAATCGAGGTGCTGACGCATTATAATTTTGTACCTTATGAATTTCCCCGCCGAAAAAAAAAGTTGTTCCCAGGTACAGTGTATGAAGAAAAAAGGGCTGAATACTTTCCTGGTGCTCGAGAGCTCAACACTGCTGGGAATATGTCATTACTAGGTTTTTTTTCTCCTCCGGAAGTGACCCGAGCCCCGGGGGTTTCCTTCTTCTTTTTTTTTTGTGTCAGGCGGTCGACGGAAAAAGTGACCCGCTTATTCAAGCTGGTGAAGGGAAGTGCAACTTTCCACTTCAACCGACGAATTCGAAGTAGTCGTGAAACATTTTTTTTAATGCCATGATGATTAAGGAAGCGATGAATGTATTTGAATGGCTCAAAAATAACCCCTAAGCAATTGGTATTTAAAGTCTCTTTTCTTTAAAGTTGAAACCTCCGGCTATCATCAAACATTTTCCGTTCCTTTCGGAAGCTTATCATCAAGAAAATTCCTTTTAAGACATTAAAATCAAGTTACAATACCGTTTTTAATATTATGGCTATCATTCCAACGTATAATTCGGCAATCATGTCTGAAAAAGACCCGCTGAATATGACCTGAGCATATATGAAAAATCCGTTGAATATAAACCCCGCCCAAAACAAAAACCTTGATAAATTCATCGAAATTTTTTAAATAAAAAAATCTGTTAGCATCGGTTGGCGTTAGAATAGCACAAGAAATCTGGTCCTTCTTTTTTCATTTTACATTACTTGACTTTTTCTCTGGGTTTTAATTGTTTTGGTGCTGATTTATTGTACATGTACGTTGAAAATTCCAAAAAACGATACTCGAATGCACGCCTTACGTTGGAGTCAACCAGCATAAATTGAAAATTTGTAATCTTATTCCTTTGATTTTTTTTTATCTTTCCAGCTGAA